TGGCAAGTTACCCGTGACGTACTCGATATGCCACAGTAACAACAAGTCTCACAATGGAGACGTTACTGGGCCCGGTTGAGCAAATCGATAAACAACAGGAGAACAGTACCACAGTGCTATAATATTATTGGAAATATTGGAAATAATAATGGAAGCAATATTATTATTACTGAAGAAAAATGGTTGCCACTGAAGAAAGACTTTCCCTAAACAGAATCCTAGTATATGAATATAGGAACAAAAGATAAAGGCTGGGAGAGAGTAACGGGGGTGTGGGGGGCAGTGAGACGCTGCCTTGCATGCTATCCACCCCATTCAATTCCTCACACCACATATGGTCGCTTGAATATGCCAAGGATCACAGAGAGAAAAATAGCCCCTGAGGGGCTGGAGCAAAAGTACAACTAGTGGAGCAGTTTGCCTTGCACATGGCCTGGGTTCTATTGCTGGCATCTCGTAAGGTCCCCCAAGCAGAGCCAGAAGTAATCTGAGTATTTCCAGGTGTGGCTCGAAAACAACAACACAACAAAAATGTCCCCGGAATAAATTCACTGAGACAATTCTGTAGTGATAGAAATAGATAAAAAGTGAAAAATTAAAATGGAATATAAACTTTAACAAACCTTTTGTAAGATATAGGACAAAAAGGGGAAAAAAGAAAAAAAAGTAGAAAGAAAAGTAATAATAGATAAGCAGATCAGTTTGGGTCAGTTATTTTCAACCATCGTTCCATTAACTAGTGCCCATCTACAGGTGTAAAAAGGCTGAAAACCACTGGACTAACTAGATGATGTAGTATCTTTTAGATTAATATAGAGATAGAGAGGAGGGAATGAAAAATAATTAAAGAAACTGTTTGATTTGATGTTAGATTAAAGAAATAACTGAATAAAAGAAGGTTTTTCAAAGCTGGCTGGAGTAAGATTATAAAGGACTTTTGCAAGAACTAGCGTCATTTAGAATGATTCTAAAGCCCATTTTTCATCTTCTGTGCCCTCCCAGAAAATTTTGTATAACCTGTAGGATCCAAAGTAACAACACTTCAAGAATCAATTATGTACACATTTTAGCCAAAGTAAACAGTGCTTTGGATATGTCTCTATAGTAGAATTCATTTCATTATAGTAAATTATTCATTAGTGTCTATTTTATCTGTTAGAAAGTGCAATGCAAGCTATCAGTTGTATGGGCTGCAACCAGAGATCAAAAGTACCACCTTGGCCTCTTACACTCTACTGCCTAGTTCTCCATCATTAAAATGTGGATCAATGTCTCAGTTTTATCAGTTGAAACACCGAAAAAGGGATTGTCCTCAAATGTCCACAAATCCTTCAACTCTCTTTCCCCTGTTAATCTTTAACGGAGAGCCTCTGGATGATAAATTTAAATTAATAATAATAAAAAAAGACTGGGCTGAATTCTGGTGGACACCAAAGTTATATCCTTACTTTATTATTATTTTTAATTCAAATCTTAAAAGAAGTCACCTTTATTTTCCATATCTTCCGGCCATAACTAAGGAGAGAAACTCTTCCGAGTGAATTTATGATCAGCAATTCTGATCTAACTGTAATGCAAGAAACTTCAACTTCATATGGCCAATTTCTTTTCTAAGCATATTTGCACCCCTGTATTTTCTCATGTAGATTGGATCTGCCCCCACTAAGAAATCTCACCATCCTTAACTAAGAAATCAGCACTCAACTGTACAAGGCATTGACCAACTCTTTTATGACAGATTGAGAGATTCTCTTACTTTTTTGGGGGGGAGAGAGGAGATTGTTTTGGGGCCACACCCACTAGCGCTCTGGGTCCTCACCCTGTACAAGGCAGGTGCCCTACTCACTATACCACCCTTACCCACTGCGCTAAGGCTCTGGCATGCTTCTCTTATTGTATGTGCTGAAAACATGACTGATCCGAGTTTGAACACAATTCATGCACATGAATCAATGAAAACTAATTCTATCTCCTTAATGGAAATAGTTTGTGCCCGGCAAGAGTTTATCATAAGTGCAAGGATAAGTGACACCTAGTCAGGTAACTCCTCTGTGATTATCTAGATGCGCCGGCAGTCTTACCTAAACAAACTTAGTTACCTCTCCGGGCCATTCCCCTCTATTTACGTCATTGAGTTAGAAAGGATATACCATGTGGCACTCATGCCTCAGGATCTGCTCTTGGGCAGGGCCATGCTTTCCTGGATAGGCGCAATCCGAGACTAATATGTAGTCTCATATATAAATGAGACTGCAATCCGAAATCATCTGTAACACAGGCAAAGGAAGCCTGTGTCCCCTCCCTGCCCACTGCAGTTTGCAGGTCCATTTTTAGCTGACTTAAGTCTACATTTTTGACATTCCTATCCTACAAAGTCCTGGATTTTTTTGAGTCCAGGTAGTTTACAGTTTACAGTTTCCCAACACCATAAATTGTGCCCTAGCTCTTGAGTTCACGGAAGTCTTGGAGATAAGGGGAAATACCAGGCAGATAGTCAATGGGTAACCTTAAAAGGCCCTAAATAAGTAGACAGCCTGAACATCCTAAGTGGAAATTCATATAGGGAGTTAATCTTGGCAGCACAAAGACCCTATATCAGCCAGACTGATTTTTGTTCTCTAAGACAAAGAGAACTGACATTCTGTAACTATTCTGTAACCATTCTGTAACCTTCTTGTCTAATGAGAAGTAACACAAAGATCCAGTTTTCTTATATAAAACCCACCCCCCAAAAAGAAGGCCATATTAAACTTAGTCCTATACTAAGTTCCTACCCTAACAGGGAATTTCTTTCTCTTCTACTTTCCAATGAAATTTTCCATTTTTTTCTGAGTGTGTGCATTTTATTGCTCAATATTTTCACTCTTGAAAATACTGAAGTGGGGCTGGAGCAATAGCACAGCGGGTAGGGCGTTTGCCTTGCACGTGGCCGACCCGAGTTCGATTCCCAGCATCCCATATGGTCCCCCGAGCACTGCCAGGAGTAATTTCTGAGTGCATGAGCCAGGAGTAACCAACCCCTGTGCATCGCCGGGTGTGACCCAAAAAGAAAAAAAAAATGAAAATACTGAAGAACCCACGAGCCACGGACGAACACAGAGACCCATCATCACCATCCTGCATTAACATGAAGATACTGCAGAGTGGTTGTGAAGATAATTACTGGTCAACAAAGATCTTTCGACTCTGAGCAAAGGGTTCACCCTGTGCAAGGCAAGTCCTTTACCTGCTGTACTATTATTACTCTGGCCCCACCCTTGATTATCTTTTAACTGAACAAGGGATATCTGTGCAGAGTCCAAGAAACCCACTGTGCTTAGATTAAAAAATTTGGAGAAGTTGCAACAGTCACAGGTTACTAAACTAGCCCTTTGGCTTAAAACAGTGACTACTTCTGTGTGGTCTTAAACATTTGATTTTTATTGGTTTAGGTCTTAGGGATCAAGGTACTGAAGTACACTCCAAAAACAAAAAAAAAGGTGTAAAAATAATCTCCCTGATACACTATGCTCAAAAGTTTCAAATGCATATTCACATTGGTAATCATCAACCAAATGACCCCCCCCTTAAGACTGGAATATTAAATAAGAAAGGAATACCTGACTTGATGAATGTCACAAGAACTTAGCAAGAAGGTCATGATTTATTGATACCAAATAAAAACATCAAAATCTGTAAGAACTGCAGTTGCTTCATGGGAGTGTTAGTTGCTGCCTTAAATTTTGGTCATACCTTTTTATTTTCCCCTTAGTTTAGCTTACCTTGCACGAAAAAAAAATCCTGTTCACAATTTTATGCGTTACAATAGTAACTAAAGTACAGGACAATCGATCTTCAGTAGGAAGCTTGTGGTGGAGAGGGGCCTGGGCCGGTAGAGACAGAGCAGGAAAAAGAACATTAAGACAATGGTGAAGGGAAGTGGTCGCGGGGGAGGAGGAGGTGCTGAAAGGTGGCAAAGTGTTATGACTGAAACTTTATCATTAACAGTTACTAAAAAGTTTGTTTAAAGTATCTATCATAGAGACAGACTGGTGCCTGGGGCATTTTGGTGGAGAGAAGTGGATATGGGTGATCAGACTGGTATTGGAACATTATGTGTCTGAAACCCAATCATGAAAAACACTGTAATTAACCTTGACTAAATTTCGAAAAGTATATATATTTAAATTTTATGCACTTCGAATTTCTGGTGCCAGGAAATTTGAGGGTTAGAGTATGTTAGCAGCATCACTCTCCCTGTCCAGCGAATCATACACCCTCTGCTCATAACCTCCCTATAAGGCAGGCACTATAATTCTCTTCCATAGTTTTATGGCTAGTGAAACTCTTTGCAATCCCGGGTCTCCTTAAGTGCCTAAGACTGAAATTCAGGCGGGGCCTGCAGAGGTCATACTCCCAGCCAGCCTGCTGTGTTTTCTTGAACATTAATTATACCTCTTCTTACTCATTCTAATCCAGGTAGAACTCATTGCCAATCTGTTACTAAACTCAGATGGATGGCAAAGACAGCACATTCCCCCCACCATGAAAAATAACAAACAACTTCTCAAAAACGGAGGCATTGTGGCCTTATTCCCCAGAGGCTTTCTTCTCTACCCCCATCCCCCACCCCCATTCCCAGTGTTTATTTATGCTCTAGGTGAAGGAGCTCTACGAGACGGAATATCTACTCCCCTTATTTTCACGCCCCCACTTTCTCATAGACAACGACAACGCAGCAATCAGAAGTGGTGGATGTTTGTTGTTTTGTTTTTTCCTAGAGTATCTAAAACTAAGGTGGGGGGGGGGGGGAGGTGGGGAAGAATGAGTAATTAATGATCTAGCTCCACCCTCGCTCCGCCTCCGGGACTTGTCAGCGACCTCCGGGGCTGGGAGCTCGGCGGAGTTGGGTGTCTTGGCAGCCCGGGATGCCCGCGCGGTGCGACTCCGGGGCGGCCACCGCGTCCGGGGCTCGTCGCTAAGCCCTCGGGTGCCCGGGGCGCGGCCGGAGGACGGGCGCGGGGACCCGGCGGGGCTCCTGGCGCTGCGCATGGACTCGCCGCGGGACCCGGAGGGCTTCGGCCCCGCCGCAGGTGACTGAGAGGGGGCGGCCGGCTGGCAGCCTGGGGGACCGCGGTGCTGGCTCTTTAAGGACCACGGCTACGCTTTAGCTGCGTTTGTCGCCGTGTGGACACTCGGAGGAGCAGAGAGGCCGCAGGGTGCGGGTCGTGCGGGGGCTCCGTTTACTCTCGGGAGCCAGTGAAAGCTGGGGATTTCTGGGGTGCAGGATCATAAACGACTTTCTTCTCGGCGCCTCAGTTCTGTGGCTCTGCATCGTGGCCCTGCTCCGTGGCCTGCTCTTTAAAAGCACCGTGCGTCCTAAGAACGCCTGCACACTGGCATGCCGTCTGCTGGACCACGGGGCAGCCCAGTTCCACTCTGACTGCTCTTGGTCGCTTTTCTCTCAGTTCCCTTCCTCCCGACTCCAAACATTTTTACCGTGATTTCTCAAGACTTCCTCCCGTGGCACAGATTTTTGTTTTGCCACTACTGCAGTGGCAAACCTCTAAAAATAGATAGAGCAGAGTAGATACAATTTTCCTTACAGGTCTTTCTTTCCCTGCAAACCATTTAAAAACAGATGCGTGTTTAAAAGTAATTAAACTAGTGTCTTTACCTGTAAGGGAAATGTAATCCTGTGAAGAAGTGCTAAGTTAATTGATGCAAAAGACCAATAATCGGTGTATAAAATGTATTGGTATTTGGATTCATGGGGCTTGTCTTTGTAGGAGCATACTATTGTAGATATTAATTTTCCACTTGAATAATAGATACTTTTTCCTTCCTAAAACTTCACCTGACTTCCCTTAATACTGCTTTTGAATACATATCGAATAACTAAACCGATATGCCAAAAGTGTATATTACCATTGTAATATGGGGAGCTTGTAAACTTGAGATACTGTATCACACATCACTTTCTACCTCCAGAGTCCTTTCTGTGGACTCAATAAAAGGACATGATAAAGTAAATTTGTGTTAGGGTGGAGGCAAAATAGATTAGTTTGATGGTTTCTACACTGAAATTCTATTTGGAAGTGATAGGGTTTTCAAATTTGCAGCAGTGTACTAGGAGTGTGTTGTATTTGATCAAATAGACTAATAGAATAGCCTTGTCTCCGCCGAATACACATCTGACAAGGGGTTGATATCCAGGTTATACAAAATACTGGTTAAACTCCACAAGAAGAAAACAATCCAACCCCATCCAAAAATGGGGCAATGAAATGAACAGAAGCTTTCTCAAAGAAGAAATCCGAATGGCAAAAAAGCACATGAGAAAATGCTCTACATCATTAATCATCAGGGAGATGCAGATCAAAACCACAATGAGATACCATCTCACACCTCAGAGACTGGCCCACATTCAAAAGAACAAAAGCAACCGATGCTGGCGTGGATGTGGCGAGAAAGAGACACTCCTACACTGTTGGTGGGAATGTCCACTGGTTCAGCCCTTCTGGAAAACAGTAGGGACGATTCTCAAAAAATTAGAAATTGAGCTCCCATTTGACCCAGCAATACCACTCCTGGGAATATATCCCAGAGAGGCAAAAATGTATAGTCGAAGTGACATCTGCACTTGTTTGTTCATTGCAGCACTCTTTACAATAGCCAGAAACTGGAAGAAACCTGAATGCCCAAGAACAGATGACTGGTTAAAGAAACTTTGGTACATCTACACAATGGAGTACTATGTAGCTCTTAGAAAAGATGAAGTCATGAAATTTACATACAAGTGGTACAACATGGGAAAAGTAACATGCTAAGCGAAATGAGTCAGAAAGAGAGGGATAGACATAGAAAGATTGCATTCATCTGGGGGATATAAAGTAACAAAATATGAGATTAACACCCAAGAATAGTTGAGATCAGCACCAGGAGGATTACTCCATAACTTAGTGGCCAGTCGGGCATTCTAGAGGAAAGGGCAGTTCAGATAGAGAAGGGAACACCAAATAAAGGGTGTTTGGAGGATCCTCCCAGGAGGGGAGATGCATGTCGAAAGTAGACTATGGACTGAACATGTTTGCCACTCAATGCCTCTTTTGCAGACCACAACACCCAAAAGGAGAGAGAGAACACAGGGAATTTCCCTGCCACAGAGGCAGGGGGGGATGGGGGAATGGGGGTGGGGGGGATATTATCCATGGTGGTGGAAAATGGGCACTGGTGGAGGGATGGGTATCTGATCATTGTATAGTCAAACCCAAGCACAAAAAATTGTAAATCTACAACTCTACCTCATGGTGTTTCACTAATAAAAAAAAATAAAAAATAAATAAAAAAAAAAGAATAGCCTTGTCTCAACAGATGTTACCTTCAGAGTGCACTATGAGCACAGGTGACTTTTGTGTCCTTCAATCAGTAGGTCTGGTCTGCCTGAAATTGTACTGTCTTTGCATTTAAGGTGATGGACCTCCCGAAAGTGCAGGCGAGACACGCAGGTGGTGGGTGTCCAGAGAACAGCTTTTTGTATTGATCTCTGCAGCTTCCATCAACTTGGGTTGTATGATGTGCTATTCCATTTTAGGACCCTTTTTTCCCAAGGAGGTAAGAGTCTTCTGTATCTTTATGAACTCTTTTCCAAAACAGCCTTTTGAATTATTTCATTTTCCAGTAGGTAAAACATAGAGTCTGCATATAGGAAAGATGATATGTACAGCTTAGTCAACAGAGACTTTGCTGTTTTGGTTTGAATTGGGGAGCTACCCCTGTGCTCTGTGCTTGGAGATTGCCTCAGGTACCACTCAGGAATCACTGAGTCCTGACCTCCTGCCTACAAAAGATAAGCTCGAGTCATGTAATAAAAACAGGTTTTCCATGCTCTCTGATAGTAGAATGCTTCTCTTTGGTACGACTTGGTAGGTCATGGTGGTGTAGGAGGGGGTGTGGAGAGTTAAAAATACTAAGAACATTTTTTCTCCTATCCTGTAGAATACTTCTTGTGGAATATATCTGATACCAGGAAAATAAAACCCAAATCTAATCCGAAAGAACATCATTTAGGTTAATTCACCTAATGTAATTGTCTTTCTGAGGATTCTTTCGCTTACATAAAGCTTGATGAATCTTAAAAAAAAAAGTCTCGGGGCAGAGAAGACACCCTGCATAACTGTGATTTTTTTTATAATTATTATTTTTTTTGGTGGGACCACAACTGGCAGTGCTCAGGGCATACTCCTTTCTCTGAGCTCGGGTTACTCTGGCACTCAGGAGACCATATGGCGCAATGGGATGGAACCTAGGTCAGCTGCATTCAAGGCAAGCACCCTACCAGCTGTACTATTCCTTAGGCCCTGGTGACTGTGATCTTTTAATGATACTACAGAAAGTTAAAACTGTATCTGATTCTTGGAATTTGGAGTGTCTTAGAATTTTGTAATTAGGAAGACATAGCCCACTAAATTCTTTTTTGACTTGAGTTTCTTAATGAGTTGAGTGGTTTATGCAAAGGGGGATTTTTGGCTAGTTCTTTTAATCATACTCATAATTATAAGGTAATGAGTTTTATAGATTATGGCACAGGCTTAAAAGAAAAATACACCTAGAAAGTCCACCTGAAATCTGGGGACGAGGGGATGAAGTTGTGGTGAGTGGGCTGCAGTACAGGTAACTATGATGTAGTAAGAAAAAAATAGGTCTAGTTACTTGAGTGGAGATAATCTAACCATGTGTTTTACTTCCAGCTTTCTGCAAATCATCACCTTAGTGCACTGCTTTCTCTCAGCCCTCTATCTGTAGTTAAATTCCATACTGCGTATTATAAAAGAGACTGGAAGTTATTCTTGTGCAGCAGGAGCAAAATGCATTTGTACTCATACAGTGATTTTTAGTTTTAAATTTATTTACCACATACTTACTACATTTCGTCTCCTCAGCAAGGAAGGTGATAGAAAAGAGATAAGATTATCAGTGAGACTCTATCATGTTGCAAATGAATCATCTGGAAGGGAAATGATTTGCACAGTTCTATTTACTGAATGAGATGAGGAGGTTTTAATAATTCCCACTCTAGAGCATGCTAGACATGGATATGGTAGGACAGAAAAAAGATCTAGACAATAATCCTCTCTCTTGTCTGTTCTTTGTGAGTGAAAATAAAGGTGAGGGTGGGAATGGGAGAGTTGTTTACTGAGGATCCAAAATTTGTGAGACTCAAAAAGGTTCATTCTTTCAAAAAACTTTTATTTTTTTCATGACTGGGGCTTGAGAAAAGAAGAGGTAGTTATGAAAGGACTTAACAGAATAATTGAGAAATGTGAGTTACCAAGGTAAACAAGACTGCGAAGGGCATTTTGTATATGGAAGACAGCAGGTGCCGGTTGTTCGATTCATTCAATAAAAACAGGTCTTCTATGCTCTTTAATAGTAGAATGCCTCTCTTTGGGATGCCTTGGTAGGCCATGGGAGTGTAGGGGTGGTCTGGAGAGTTGAAAATACTAAAACCATTTATTCTATATGTTAATGACAATAGTATTTCCAAACATTCCCCCCTCCTGAAAATAACATGTCAAATCATACATGTAGGGACTTTTGCATTGTTGGGGAAACCTATAGCTTTTTCTTGGGTAACAACTGACAGCATGCTGTGGCTTGGGCTGGGGTGGAGCGAGGTGTGACAGAGGATATGGGAAAGTAGGAAAGTAGGTAGAGCAAGGATACAAGAGTCCTTCCATGCATGTCAGAGGTTTAGTTAGTGAGAAGTCATCATAGGTGTTTGAGCAAGACTAAGTAACCTGACGAGATTCAGGGTTTGGAAAAGGACAGTGGCTGGGAGCTTGAGGAATTCAGAGAAAGAACTGAAGTAAGTGGACCAACCAGTTAGAAGGGCATTTCCTGCTTCAGCTGGCACTTGAGCGAGGTCACCGAATGTTCACTTTCTCTTCGTAGAATAGGGTGCTTTGAAAGACTTTGAGTTGGTTGGTTTTATGGTTTTGGGGTTTTGGGGGTTATAGGAGGGAAGGCTGTAGGAAAGAGGACAGCCAGGAGAAAAAGCATAATTTCAGTATTGAGGGATGAGGAGTGGATTCTTTTCATTTCTCTTCCCACCTGCCCTTCCTTTTGTTGTGCTGTCTAGGAACCTCACATTTGGGTTTATTGTGCTGGATGAGACGTGCTTGTGGGTGCCAGCTGGGGGCATCCCATGGCAGGCCAGGGATCACATTTGCAGTCTTGCGCATGTAAGGCGGGTGCTCTACCTTTCAGTTGTTCATTTCTTGTTAAAGATTGCGCAGTCAGGGGCTGGAGCGATAGCACAGCGGGGTAGGGCATTTGCCTTGCACGTGGCCGACCCGGGTTCGATTCTCAGCATCCCATATGGTCCCCCGAGCACCGCCAGGAGTGATTTCTGAGTGCATGAGCCAGGAGTAACCCCTGTGCATTGCTGGATGTGACCCAAAAAAGAAAAAAAAAAGATTTCACATTCAGTCCCAGTCGTCTTCCCATACCGTATTAGTCAGAGCAAAGTAGGCAAAAGCAGTACAGGGCCTTTCTTCAGTTCTGCCACCAGATTTCTGTTTCTACTCAACCTTGCCCTGGCCACTCTCTTCCCTTATTAGAGCTGTGCATGTGAGCCAAAAATGCCTTTTAGTAACTATTTATTTCTTAACATGAAGTGGGATCCAATTCCAAAGAAGGTATTCAGCTGCTGCCAAGGTGTGTGCTTCTAAGCCATGCCAAATCACAATTCCTTTTCCATAGTAGAGGTTGGGAACATATCAGGAATTCAGTCATCATGTAACTTTTGCACGTTTGTATTTTTTCAAAATTTTTATTAGTGAGACACCATGAGGTGCAGTTGTAGTACCAGGAATTTTACTGCAAGTTTGTATTCTTATCTATAAATGAAGTAATTGAAAGTTAGATCTTTCATTTAGTTGTAAGAGATCACGTGGAACAGCACTTGATAGAGATTGTGGTTTTATAATGAGGATTTAGTAAATGTTGATTGCTGCAACCATTAAATACTTTCTAGTATTTAATTCTAGTCTCTAGAATTAAAGGCTTCCTAGATCAATTAAGTAAAGAACATTGTTTACTGTTACATGGTCAACAAACATTCCTTCTGCATCTTACTCAAATCCTTTGATTCTTTTTCTATTCTAGGGCTTCTGTAACAAAGTGGAGTAAACTAGATTTCCTTAAGAGACATATTTATCACCTCACAGTCTGGAGGAAAAAGTTGTAGGATCAAGGGACTGGCAGGATGAGTTTCTTCTGAGAGCTGGAAGGGGAAGATCTATTCCAAATTTTTATCCTTGGTTGGTAGGATGGCTGACTTCTCCCTATGTCTCTTCTCATCGTCTTTTCTCTATACCCACTTTTTATAAAAATACAAATTATGTTGGATTAGGCCCTACCCTGATGATCTCATTTTAACTTGATTATTCTGCAAAACTTGGTATCCAAATAAAGCCACATACTGAGGTACTATCAATCAGGATTTGCCACATCAGTTTGAGGTACAGAGTCCAGTCCATAGCACCCACCAACCTTTCTGCCAGGAATATTGACATCATGATTCATTCTGTGTACAGTGTAGCCATTTGTGACCATGCCATTAAAAGTATCTTTTATAATGATATCTTTCTGTTCTCCACATCACCTTATGTGCTTATTAAGTAATGGGCAGGTAAAGACTGATTTTGAATCCCATAGAATTATGAGATTAAATCTTGCCTGAGCAGTTACTGTAGAACTGTTATTTTTATCTTCTCTGCTTTTTCCATCACTTGGAACTTAGAGAACGTATTTCAGGAGGGGGATACCGCTTCCTAGGTATGGCTGGGAACAAGAGATCATCTAAATGTTCTCCTGTGGTACTATGATATGAAGTGTAGGGTCTATTTAAAGAGATTTGATGGAACTGGTGAGATTGTGGGGTAGGGCACTTTCCTTGCACGGACCTGACCGAGATTGCAGCAGAAGGGATTTGCTTTGCAGGTACCTGACTTAGATTCAATCCTTGTCGACCCATGTGGACCCCAAGAGCAGCCACCTGAGCACAGAGCCAGGACTAAGTCTCTCGCACCACTTTCTCTCTCTCTCTCTCTCTCTCTCTCTCTCTCTCTCTCTCTCTCTCTCTCTCCACTTCCCCTTTCCTTTAGGGCTTATGCCTTGCAATAAAGATAATGAAAGGTTATCAGGTATATCCTTTACCTACTTATTGTCATCCTTTAACTATTATTGTCATGCTGATCCCTTCTCTGTCCTAACTACCCTTTGTGTCCTACACAAGAGAACATTTTTTTAATTTATATTTAAAATGCAATTATGGAGAAAAAGCAAAAAAAAACACAGTTTTGTTTTGGTTTTTTTTTTTGGGTTTTGTTTTGGACAATACCTGGCAGGACTCAGGCACCTCCTGGCTCAGTGCTCAGGGCTACTCCCAGCGATACTTGTGGGACACAGTAGCTCTGGGGATTGAGTTCAGCCTCCTGCATGAGAAGCATGTACTCCAACTTGTTAAATGATCTCTCAGGCCCAAGAAGTGCAGCTTGAATTATTGTAAAGAATGAATTTTGAAGATCAAAGGATTTTGTGTGCAATATATGTCTATATTAAGTAGAGTTATTTGAAAAATAACTATTTGCTGAATTTCTGGCAAAGGATAAATGAACATTGCATCTTCCGGCCATGATCATATTGGCTCCCAGCAATAATATCTGAAGAATAGAAGGTATTTAATAAATGCCCAATGGATAGCCTGGGAGGACAGAAAATTGTGTACACTAAATTTTCAATTTCATAGCTTGACACATTGCCAAACCTATATTAAATGGTTCAAATTTATATTTTAGCTCCTCAAATAACTGTAGCTGGAACCAGATATAAGTATTTGCTGTATTTAACTAGGGTTTAAATATTTTGTTAAACCATCACTCTATATTTTATATGAATTCAGCTGTCCATTATAACTAATAGTAGCATTTGAATTTCAAAAGAATTGAGTTTAGTGCTCGTCTTGCTCACGACTAACCCAGATTCATACCCTGGCATGACATAGTCCTCTGAACACTGCCAGGAGTGATCCCTGAGGACAGAAGGGGTGATCCCTGAGCACAGATCCGGGAGTAAGCCCTATATACCACTGGCTGTGCCCCACAAAAACAATTAGATTTAGATGAACTGTTGTATCATTTATAGCAAATTCACGGACAGAATAGCTTCTAAACATTAACATATACTATTGATAGATTATAAACTACAGCAAAAGGACATCTTTTATCTGTAGTATTGCTATTAGGAAGTAAAACTTTGTTTTTTTCTTTCTTTTTTTTTTTAAAAAAAAAACTTTGTTCTTTTCTAAGCTGTCAGGTGGTTGATATAAATATCAGAATTAGAGAACTAGACTGAATAGGCTTTGGGAGAACTTACGTGATAACTTAGGGAACTTCCTATTCTTGAGCTTTTTGACTGACAAAGTTTTTTTTTTTCAGTTGTGGAATTTGATCCTGTAACGATGTGTTATTGAGTAGGAAAAACAATAACCCCTGTGTGACTGTCCCTTATTTTCAAACTTTTATCAACTTTACAATACATCTCAAACCTGATATTTAACATTTCCCCCCACATCAAGTGAGTCTCAGTAACATCCGCCTACCTTATAATTAAAGACTTAATCGTGTTAGAGTGTGCCCACTTCAGACCAGTTATAAGTACTAGGTCTCCAGGTTACCCTTAATGTCTGTGGTAATCTGGTTTGATTTGGAGCCAAATCAGAGTATCCATAATTTCCACACTTTTATTCAGTTCTTTGTAGAATGGGAAATAGACCCATGGGAAACATGTATTTAATATTTACCAGCATTTTTATGAAAGGATATGGTAAAGCGCAGAGAGGCACTTTAGGAGAGATACAACGAGCAAGGTAAGTAGGAGAGGGTGCTGAGCTTCTGAGACCTGTCTAGGAATATTCTCCTAACTCCACCTACCTGAAGGCGTGATCAATCATTAACTGAATTTCTATCCTCTCACAGAGAATGAGCACAGGGCTGAAAGTTGCAAGCATCTAACCTTGACTTGATCTTACCTTTATCAGTCCCCATCTAGAATCCACTAAAGTCACCTCATTAAGACAACCACAGAAAAACTGTCATCCAGGAAGTGCAAGGAATTTCAGATCAAAGACTAAAACTATTATTGATTTAAGATTTAAGAGCTTGACCAAGAGCAAAGACTAAAGATCAAAACCACTTAATGGAATGAAAGATGTTCCTAATGTTCTTAGGACCTTCATGGGTTTTATGTGATCTATTCTAGGAGTCTAGGACAGAGATAGGTATGTATATTTTCTATTATCTCATAGATAGAAAAAAGAAATAAGTCCGGTTGAGCTGTTAATTCAGTTTGTCTGAATGAAGTAGAGCCCAGAATTCCTCAGCCAAGTTTCTTTTGGTTTTGTTTTTCTCTTTAATTTTCATTATTTGCTTGGTAAAGCTAATAATTGGGGGGTGGGGGTGGAATGGGGTTATGGGGACCTTTTGAGATTTATCTCATTTTAAAAATTGTACACATTTTATTCATTCATATTGATAACCTTAGACATAGGCGTCTACTGATATCATTATAATAAAATACTAAGTATCTTTCACGCAGACAAAAAACATTTGTGTTTTTGTTTGTGGGTTGCTCTCTCCTTCCCCCCATCTCTTCCTCATTCTCTCTCCCTCTCTTCTTCACGTTCCTCTCTTTATGTTATTTGGTAATCAGAATAAACTGTGAGCTTATCTTGCATAACCAATGCTTTATTTAAAATAAGCAATAATTCCCCACTTGCTCCTCCAAGGCCTCTTCCAACCACCACCAAGTAGGATCATGCAATATTTGTTCATTCTTGATTGCTTTATTTCACTTAACAATTCCCTCAAGGATTATTCGTGTTACCAGTATCAGAATTTTCCTTTTTTTTAAGACTGATAATCCAGTGTGTGTGTGTGTGTGTGTGTGTGTGTGTGTGTCCCACATTTTCTTGACTAATTGTGAATAATGGTGAATGAACATAGAGTGTAGACATGTCTTTGAGATCCTGCTTTTAATTCTTTTGTATATTACTAAAAAGAGTGGATTGCTGCATCTTATGGTTGTTATGTTTTTAATGTTTTGCTGACCTAAATTTTGTTCTGTTTTTGATGTTTGTCACAGTGGTTGCAATACTTTGCATTCGGCCAGTGAATGTGGCTCTAATTTCTCCATATCATCACCATTCATTATTAGCTCTTATTTTTCTTACATCAATAGTTCTCTCAATAGATGTGAAATGTTGTATTACTTGCTTTTGATCCATACTTCTCTGATGGTTAGCGATAACACTTTCACATGTACCCAGTGGCCATCTGTATGTGTTCTTTGGAGAAATGTCTACTCAAGTCTTATACCGATTTTAAAATCTATTTTTTTCCTTGAGAATTTGATATTGGTGAGTTGTAGATTTGAGAATATTTTGAATATTAACCTCTTGGCCTTACAAGCGGCCAACATGGTCGACCAGAGTTCGATTCCTCCACCCCTCTCGGAGAGCCCGGCAAGCTACTGAGAGTATTTGATATGCCAGACACAGTAACAACAAAGTCTCCAATGGAGACGTTACTGGGCCCGCTCGAGCAAATCGACGATCAACGGGAGGGCCTTTACCTTTACCTTTATTAAATAGATAGCTTGTTAGAATTTTTTCCATTCTGTAGATTGACTTTTCACTTTTTTGATCATGGCTTTTTCCATGCAAGTTTTTTAGTCGTGTAATGCCATTTGTCTACTTTTAGTACTGTGCATTTGGTGTCATTGCATTTGGTTTCAAGGCCAAGAAAAAATTAACAAGACCAATGTCAAAAAATTACCTCATTACCTTTTTTTGAGAAATTTAATAGCTTCAAGTCTTTTTGTCTAAGTCTTTTTGAGGTCTTAGTTTTAATTTGTTTTGAGCTGATTTTGTGAGTGGTATAGATGTACGATATTCTTTTTTAAATACTCAGTTTTTTCAATTCTGATTTTGAAAGATATTGTTCATTCTTCATCATTTGTCCTTGGCATCCTGTGGAAATATTAGTTGAATATCAAGTATAAGAATATCATAAACCAAATATTTGTGATTTATTTCTGTGCTCTTTATTCTGCTCCATATATGTACTTATCCCTCTTCATGCAAGTTTAACAGTTTTAATTACTATAGCTTTGTAAAATATTTTTGAAATCAGAAAATGTAATGCCTTCAACTTTGTGCTTATTTCTTAATTTTATAAACATAATAATTATTTTGGGGGTGGAGCGATAGCACAGCTGTAGGGAGTTTGCCTTGCGCACAGTCAGCCCAGCAGAGCCAGGTTCAATTCTTCTGCCCCTCTCGGAGAGCTTGGCAAGCTACTGAGAGTATTCAATATGCCAAACACAGTAACAACAAGTCTCAAAATGGAGATGTTACTGGGCCTGCTTGAGCAATTTGATGAACAACAGGAGGACAGTGACCGTGAAATAATTATTTTTAAGTATGGTAAGTGAATAATTTTCATGTCAATTTAGATTTAACTATAGTTTCTTTCTTCTCCATCCTGTTTATCTTAAATAATAATGTTTGAAACTTCTACATGAAAGTTATAAGATGATCATATGTTGATATAATAGCAATTTTTCCATACTGATGCTAATTTATCTGTAAAATGGTTTCCATTTCTATTTCTCTATAGGCTGAAAAGAAAGGAGTCGGCAATACAATTATTGGTTTGATCTTTGGATGTTATGCTTTGTTTGACTTTCTGGCATCTTTGTTATTTGGAAAATATGTAAGTATTAAGGTGCATATATACACTTTAGCTAAAATATATACAATGAGTCATTCTAATATCTGGGGGATTTCCATGGATAAATAGATAATAACCATTATGTTTATGAATACTGCCATAGTTGATAGTTCTATTCCTAGGTTTGATTGATTTTGTATTTATTTGTCTAATGGATTTTTAAGTCACACCCAGCAGTGTTTATCTCTGACTCCAGGCTCTGTGCTCAGGGATCATTCCTGGCAAAGCTTAAGGACCGTATGTGGTGCTAGGGGGGGTCAGATTTGGGTTACCCACAAGCAAAGCAAGTACCTTAATGCCGAAACTATTTCTTTGGCCCAAGGACCAAATGACTTTTTAAATATTTGATGTTTGTGATCAATGTATGAAGCCATTCTACAATGGATTTTTATTGTAACTGATCATTTCTTCATGAAATATTATATTTCCAGATAACAGTGAATTAATTTATGCCAATTTAGACTCATAACACTCACTAATTTAACCATTTTTCTTTGATGTTTATTGTAGCTTGTACATATTGGAGCGAAATTTATGTTTGTGGCAGGAATGTTTGTATCAGGAGGAGTGACAATTCTTTTTGGGTAAGTCACATTCTATTATGTTTAGGACCTTGGGCAGATTTTATTGTCTGCTTTCAGTTTAAAATGTTAATGGAGTCCTTAAGACAATAATTTCCATTGATTGTTGGATACTTGGCAAATAATTTATGGTGAATGATATTGAGGGGCTGGAGCTATAGCACAGCGGGTAAGGCCTTGCATGCAGCTGACCTGGATTTGATTTCTCTTCTCCTCTTGGAGAGCCTGGCAAGCTACTGAGGGTATGTTGCCCGCATGGCAAAGCCTGGCAAGCTACCCGTGATGTATTCGATATGCCAAACACAGTAACAAGTCTCACAGTGGTGACGTTACTGGGCCCGCTTGAGCAATGGGAGGACAGTGACAGATTTTGGGAGAGGCCTGCAAGGGAATCACCACTAATCTGGCTACTGTACCTATTATTCATTAGGACTCCTTTGTTTGCAGTGACAGAAATTTAACTCACTTGTTTAACTCACAGAAAATTTTTTGCCTTAAGCAAAGAGTAAACTTTTGGACCTAAAGAACCAGTGGAAGAGCAGAATAGAGATCTTAATGTCACCAAAAACCGTCCTTGAGTTTCTAATTTTGTTTTCCTCTTCTTTTCTTTTCTTTTTTCTTTTTGGGTCACACCCAGCATTGCACAGGGATTACTCCTGGCTTTGCACTCAGGAATTACTTCTGGCAATGCTCAGAGGACCATATGGGATGCTGGGAATTGAACCTGGGTTGGCTGCATGCAAGGCAAACGCCCTACCCGCTCTACTATTGCTTCAGTCCCTGTTTTCCTCTTCTTGTGCTTTTTTCTTGAACATCTTTCTCTTTCACGATGCCAAGGTGGCTGAAGAAATTGCCTTAGGAAGATGGTGACACATATGAGTGTTTATTTACTTAATTTGGATCTGAGGGCCTTCTACTTTCTTTACATATCAATTTATTTAGAAGGTCTGTGCCTCACCATGGGAAGAGGGAGGATTGAATCTAGTGTGTTCTTTAAAGGTTCTTGTCAGAATGATTCTATTAAATAAATCATTTTGGTGCAATTTGTTAACAAAAAAGAGCAATTTCCTTTTGTTAAAAGCAAACAACTCTTCAAATTGTGCTTAAAATATGATTCTAATAACTATGAGCGTAGTACTACTTTTACTCTTTTCATTGAATACAGCTTAATCAGAAGAAAGAAATACACAAACCCAAATTGGCTTTTGAGAATTGTCTTTTTTTTTTCTTTTTAGTATATTGGATCAAGTTTCAGACAGATCAACATTTATTGCTCTGTGTTTTATAGTGAGAATAGCAGATGCCATAAGCTTCTCTGCAGCCATAACTGCGTCTTTTTCTATCCTTGCAAAGACGTTTCCAAACAATGTGGCTACCGTCATGGTATGTATTTTATACGTTTTCCCCTACTTTAGTTTTAGTATCGGCTCAAATATTTGACCTTCCCAGTTAAACTGGGTATTATTCCATCCCTGCTTTTCCAGTCTTTCTCTTTTCCATTTTCACCGAGGTACTGGGATTTACAGTACTGTTAATTGTACTTTTGTTCAATGATTTGCAACTCCACACCCCTGAGAACCCACTTCCCTCCACCAGTGTCCCACCTAACTGCCAAACCCCATACGTATATATTACGTGGTTCAAAAAAAATTTTAGAAGAGTGGCAAACAGAATTAACAGAAAATAAATCAATAAAAGTCAATTTGTGATGATTTGCTATATGATTTTAGCTTTTCTTAATCTAGTAGGAGGCAACCATGTGCATCATGAGTGAGTGCTATACTCAATGCCACATGATGGGAAGTTTCTCCTGTCCTTTAAACGAGCTCTTTTAATCCTTCTAGCAAAATTGATTTCAAGACTATGAATCCCCTGAGCTGTTGCCTGCCCATGATACTCTGCATAGTTCCTTCAGATCTGAATGATAATCTAGCCGGATATATATTCTTGTTGAGGTGTTTATTTTGTTGTGTTTTTGTATTATATCTTTCCATATTCTTCATACTTGTAGTGTCTTATTCAATAGATCTGCTGTCCATCTTATGTTTTGGTTTTTGTTTTGGTTTTGGGTTCACATCCAGGAGTGCTCAGGGCTTGCTTTGACCCTGCCACTCAAAAATTACACATGGTGGTGTTACAGTGACTATCTGGGAAGCATTGGATTGAATCCGGGTTTTCCAAGTACAAGGAAAGCACTGTACCCTCTGTGGTATCTCTCTAGTTCCTCTGCTGTACGTCTTATGGGCTCTCCTTTGTATATTAGTTACTTTTCAGTCTTGCTGCTTTCAATATTCTACCTCTATCTTTGGACTTTGTCATTTTTGAATATATTATGTCTTGGGGTTTTCCTGATGGGGTCCATTTTCACTGGGGCGTTTTGGGCCTTGTGAATCTCAGTACTTTTAATCCTCAACTCTGAAAAGTTTTTATCAGTGATCTCCTTAATTATTGTTTCTTCATCACATTTGCCTTCCTGTTCTGCAGGGACTTTGAAAATTCTTACATTGTTCCTCTTAAACTCATCCCATGATTCTCTGGTATCTGTTCATTTCTTTTCAGACTATTTTCTGTCTTCTGCTGTTTCCTAGTGGTGAGTATCAAATGCCCAATAGCAATAGAAATGAAGAGCAGGAGAACTGGTCTTCAGTAGGAAGCTTGCTGCTGGGATGGGGGCAGGAGTAAGTGATAAATTATGGAAGGGGAGAGGAAAAGTGCCTGTCACAGAGGCAGACTTGGGAATAGGAGGGAAACGCCCGTGAACACTGCTGAAGGAATTGGTGTTGGAACAATATATGTCCAAAGCTCAAAGATATATATCTTTGTAACTTTGAAATTCACAGTGATTTTTTAAAAAAGTAAGGGTATCTTTTTATTTTATCTTGAGTTTCTTTTGCTGTGCAGAAGCTTTTAGATTTGATTTAGTCCCATTTTTTTTAATTTTGTTCTCTTTGCAACTGTGATCATATTGTTTGAGAACAAGTTTAATTTCTTGGAGATTTCTGGCTCTTTTCTTCAATGTATTTTGTGGATTATGGTCTAATGTTGAAGTTTGCAGTTCACTTTTGTGAATCATGTGAGATACAATTCCATTTTCATATTTTTACATGGGCTTTCCAGTTTACCCAGTATCATTTTTGAAGAGATTTTCTTTGCTTTATTTCAAGTACTTAGCTCCTTCGTTTTAGATTAAGTGTTCATAAGTTTGGGGGTTTAACTCTTTCCATTCATCTGTGGGTTTGTCTTTAGTCCAGTACTATGTAGCTTTGGTTATTATAGCCTTTAATATAGTGCAAAGTTAGAAATGCAATGCCTTCCATCTTCCTTTTCATTTTCTTAGGATTTCTGTGGCTATTTCAGGACTTATATGTTAAAACTCCTATATTTTAGTTATTTAATATTTTTGTTGTTTGGGGGCAACATCCAGTGATACTCTGGAGTTACTCCTAGCACTGCACTCAGGAATCACTCCTGGTGGTGTTCAAGGGAATATTTGGGATGCAGGTTGACTACACACAAAGCAAGTGCGTTACCTGCTGTACTATCTCTCTGGTCCCAATAATTTATTTTGATTGTGATGAATATTTAAATTGTTCACATCTTTTGGTATTGCAAACAGTACCACAACACTTAAGTTTGTACATTTGCCATATCACATCTTTATGGCTATACTTGTCGTTTATATTTCCAAAAGAGGGACTGTAGAGTGAATGCAGTGTGTAGGGGGCTTGCCTTATACACGGCCCAACCTGGGTTTGATCCTTGATGGGCTGCCATATGGTCCCCCAAGCCCTTCCAGAAGTGATCCCTGAGTATAGAGCCAGGAATAAGCCCTGTGCATCATTGGTATCACCTACCCCCGCCCTCCAAATAAATAAATAAATAAATTCCCAGAAGAGGCATTCAGGCCAGAGAGCATGTGCATCTAGTAATGTTGATCAATTGTTCAGACACTCCACAGGCAATGTATTACAGAGTATGACAAAAATGAAGGGTTTTATATATAATAATAGGTAATAAATAGACACTATGTCTTGTGGTTTAAATGTTCATTTTTTAAAAAACAGATGGTGTGTTTTTTATGTTTTTTTTTTTTTACATTTTTTGGTCACACCCAGAGATGTTCAGGGCGTACTCCTGTCTCTCCATTCAGGACTTATCCTGGCAGTGCTCCAGGGACCATATGGGATGCCGGGCATCGAACTCTGGTCTGCTGTTTGCAAAGGCAAACATTCTCCCTGCTGAACTATCTCTCTGGCTCTCTGGTGGTTTTATTTATTTATTTATTTATTTATTATTTATTTATTTATTTTTAATGGATCTAAGAACTATTTGAATTTTATTTTATGGGTCAGTTTAGGACTTTCCTGTTGGGCTGTGCATTGTTTTCTCACTGATCAGTAGCAGCTCCCTTAAAGTAGTTGCAAAAATGAGCCGTTTTCAGGTTTCTTCTGATACATTTTGCCTTATGGTTTTTAAAAATATTTTTATGTGACCATTTCATAAATGTTTTTTGTGTCTTCTGACTTTTTAAGTCATAACTGCAAAATCTTTTCCATCATAACTAATTAAAACAAAATTGTCTTTATTTTATTTCACTAGTTCTTTAATGATTTCAACATGTGTCTTTAAATTTTTTGATTCATAGTGTGTTTATATAAATTATATAAAGAATAGATTTTTTTATATAGTGCCCTTTGTATTTTATTTAATTCTTCAAAATGTTTTGATTTTGTTCTTTTGTTTTCTCATTTCTAGGGAATTCTTGAAATTTTCTCTGGACTGGGACTTGTGCTAGGGCCCCCTATCGGTGGCTTCTTGTATCAGTCCTTTGGCTATGAGGTGCCTTTTATTGCTCTGGGATGCATAGTTCTGCTGATGGTGCCTCTCAACATGTGTATTTTACCTAATTATGGTAAGCCAAGATTTATTTCTCATTCTTACGATTTATTTATTTTGTACCTTTATAAGAGACCAATGTAATAGATCCTCCATTTGATTTTTTATAATCAATGGTAGATATTTTAGAGTACTTGAAAGAATTGATTTTCTTCATAAATGTTGTTAGCGACTTGTTTATATGAATTCCCCATATGACACAAATCTTTCTTTTCTCTAGAGCTAAACAGAATTTCTTTCCTCTTCATAAAACATCACCACAGGGGCTGGAGCAATAGCACAGCGGGTAGGGTGTTTGCCTTGCACTTGGATGACCAGGGTTTGATTCCCAGCATCCCATATGGTCCTCTTGAGTACCACCAGGGCTAATTCCTGAGTGCAGAGCCTGTAGTAACCCCCGTGCATTGCCGGGTGTGACCCCCCCCAAAAAAAAAAAATCACCACAGGTCTGCTCTCCAGAAGTCTTCTTGGACTTCATTTAAATATTTCAAATGGCAAGCAGTCACTGGCCAGTCCTGGTACATTTTCTTAAAGGCGAGGGGAGGGTGGGTTCCTCAAAGCTGGTTGCTCTGCACAGCTCAGATGCCAGGACCCGAGGCAGCAGGAGGCAGTAATGCAGGTCGTCCTGGCTTTAATGCTTTATGCCTATAGGAGGGGTCTATCTGTCATAACAGTTCCACAGGCTCAGGAGCCAAGCTCATGGGTCTGCATGCTCAGACAACTTATCATGTACAAAGCGTGATATTTATGGTACATTTCTTTCTATTCTGTACAGGCTGGTGCTCCAATTAGGGTTATTTTAATAGGCTTAGTAATTAGTTGGCACTTTCCCTATAATGGGTTGCTAGGGAAAGGGACTGGAGCTTGTGAGCTGGGGATGGGAGAGCTAACAAATACTGCAGGAAAGGAATCACCATGTCCAAACATTCGAGGTGCTTGTCCTCTTCCTTTGCACAGGGATCCTAGTCTCTGTAGCCCTGCATCCTGTACTGTGCTGAACTTGGTTCAGCCTATGAACACTTGGCTGAGATCCAAGAAACTGACTCCAGGAAGAAGTGTCATGTGACAGGGTCAAGTTTTCAGGATTTTTCTTGTGAGAAGGAATAAACTAAACCTGTATTATCTCATACAAGGCAGCAGACTGCTTGCCGCATTCTGGCAGATTATGGTGTTCAGAACATTGGTCATTAGCTTCTGGATGATTCCAATACCTGTTCCCCTTTCATTTTTTTTCTTTCTTATTTTGGTTTTGTTTGTTTTGGGGTAACAACCAGCAGTACTCAAGGATTGTTCCTTTTCTGTGTTCAGGGATCGCTCCTGGCAGGGCTCAGGGAACCAGATGGGGTGCTGTGGATTGAATGCTGGTTGACCTCATGTAAAGCAAGCTCCCTGCCCTCTGTATGATCTCTCGAGCCCAATCCATTCCTCTCTGAGACTTGTCATCCTTGCCTTGTCTCCTTCCCTCACCCACAACTTGGCATCTTTTGCAGTGTCATCCTCCCCTCCCCCCCCCAGTCACTAGTAAGTAGTTACTTGCTACTCTTCACTACTGTTATTCATGAATTAATATCCTGGCTTTACTGGTCCTAATAAGGTCTCGGTTAGTTGCATTTTTTTCTATACAAATAGTTTGACAAACATGGTATTTAACTACATAGAATCTTCTGTAGACTGGGTGGGAAAAACGGTATTTGGTAATAGTATCTCTAACATGAACAATGTTAAGTGAATGAGTATAAGCTCAGGTGTACACATTAATTGGTGCTTTTAAAAAATATTGTTTAGGGGAACATATAGAGACAGGTTGTTTTTTTGTTTTTGTTTTTTTGCTTTTTGGGTCACACCCGGCGATGCACAGGGCTTAATCCTGGCTCTGTGCTCAGGAATTATTCCTGGCAGTGCTCAGGGGACCATATGGGATATTGGGAATAGAAACTGGGGTTGGCCACATGCAAGGCAAATGCCCTACCCGCTGTACTATCACTCCAGCCCCAGAGACAGTTTTAAAATACATTTTTGTTAGTTTGTTTCTTGTCTACACCTGGTGGTGCTCAGGCTTTACTCCTGTCTATACCCTCAGGGGTCATTTCTGCTGAGCTTGAGGCACCATATGGGATGCTTGGAGGATCCAATCCAGGTTGGCTGCATGCAAAGCAAGCAGCTTACCCACTGTACTATTTCTCTGGGCCCCCAAATAAATTAAACTTTATTTTTATGAATATCGATGAATATTTGATAAATACTGTAAAGAACTTAACAACGTACAGTATTTTGTGTTTTGTAAGTTCTGCTTCAGGCTGGAGTGATAGTGCAGCGGGTACAGCGTTTGCCATGTAGACCTGGGTTCAATTCCCATTATCCCATATGGTCCCATGAGCACCGCCAAGAGTAGTTCCTGAGTGTAGAGCCAGGAGTAACCTCTGAGCATTTCTGGGTGTGACTCAAAATGCAAAAATAAGTAAATAAATAAAGAAAAAAAAAGTTCTGTTTTACTTCTTCCTTCTGAGGGTTGACTCCAACTTCAGAAGCTTCATCTCACTTATCTTTTATGTCTGCTCTCTGTGTAGTCAGTCTTTTGCACTGCTCTTAAATATTTCTGAAACAGTTCTCCAATCCTTTCATTCGATATGAAATAAGAAAAATTTTTTGAAAGTCATTAAGAGATTGTGAGATTTCAATAGTTGAATCCCAGAATGTAGAATATCCCCTCGCCTACTTAATTTGTAGTACCTCTTTGAGAAAGTTTTCTGAACTGTCACAATTCCAGTACCAAGTGCTGAAGAAGTAGCACCGTGCAACACAGCACTCAGCATTTCCCTGTGGCATTGTACCTGAGGTTACTTCACTTCATTCCTCAGTGCTTCATCCCTGACAGCAGCTTCCTGTGGCAGTTCTTGTCAGTCAGAAAGTCACTCCTCTAAGAAGAATCTATCAAAATTGGGAGAACAGAGAGGTATTTAACTACATGGAGTTTGATAAAACACCCTAGGAAGTTCTTCCTTTTTTCTCCTGAAGTAGCTATCACCCCAAATTTGTGTTACTTGGACTACTTCAAGAGTTGAACTTATTATTATGTGTTCATTTTCATTGACATTCTATTTTTGCTGTTGTTGTTTGATTTTTTGGGACCACACCCACGCTCAGGGAATTCTTCTGGTTCTATGCTTAGGAATCACTTCTGGTGGGACTCAGGGATCATATGTGGTATAGGGGATTGACCGGGATTGCCTGCATGCAAAACCAAGTGCTCTACCTCTCACCTCTGGTCCTCCATGTTATTGACATGCTCTTTTAACATTTTCAGAGTGTTTTCTTTCTTTTTTGGGGGGGAGGGGGTCACACCCGGCAATGCACAGGGGTTACTCCTGGCTCATGCACTCAGGAATTACTTCTGACAGTACTTGGGTTACCATATGGTATGCTGCAAATTGAACCTGGGTCAGCTGCGTGCAAGGCAAACACCCTATCCACTGTGCTATCACTCTAGCCCTAAATCTCAGAGTGTTTTCATGATATCCGACTTAATACCTAGTCCCCCTCCTGCTCCTCCAACCATGGCCTCTTCTGCTCCGATTCCCATTCTCCATGGCAGGTATCACTGGAATTTCCCCGACTGATGCACCCAGCCACTTCGTCATTCTCTTTTAAGACACCTTACAAGTAGTTAACCGGACTTAAGACCCGAAACTTTGTGTTTGGTTTTTCATTAGTGACACATCCTTGGAGCTGCCAAATTAGCATTTTGTTTGATTAAGATAGGAAAAGTCAACAGATCCCTTCATCCCTGGAAATGGGACTTTTTCCAGCATAAAAGCTACAACATGGTTAATACTTTCATAATCAGGGAAGTCAAGAGCAAATTTATCCTCTGCCATTAGCTATACTGCTGTTTGCACCAACCTCCCTACCACCAAGTAGCGGATCACGGTGATGCCTGCTGCCTTCAGCCAGACCTGTGTGGAGAACTCCTTCACTGGCAATTTTTTTTTGTTCTTTGTTTTTTGTTTTTCTGGCTTTTGGGGTCACACCTGGTGATGCTCAGGACTTATTGCTGGCTCTGCACTCAAGAATTACTCCAGATAATGCTTGGGGGACCGTAGGGATGCCAGAGATCGAACCCAGGTTGCTGTGTGCAAGGCAAACACCCTCCCCGCTGTACTATCGCTCCAGCCCCTGTGTTGGGTTTTGTGCATTTGTTTGTTTTTGAGCCACACCCAGAGGTGTTCAGAGCTTATTCTTGGCTCTGCTCCCAGGAATTGCTCCTGGAGATGTTCTAAGAACCATGATGGATGCCGAAGAATGAACTCAGTCGGTCACGTCCATGGCGAGCATCCTACACTCTGTATTATCTCTCCGGGTCCCCTTTATTGACGTTATTATGTACTATTTTGTGATAAACATTTTTCGCCGCTTTGGATTTAGAGAAAGGTATACCATTTTTGTCATTCTGATGTTACACAAAGTCCGTTTCCCTGCTTGCACTGCCATATGTAGCCACAAGGTGATGCGCGTCCTCTGTCTAAGTACATTGCAGGTCCTTCTGTATGGAGCGTGTTGGGGGCTGTGCTCAGTCTTGATTCTTAGTTCAATATTTGATAGTTAAGAAACTAACCCGCAGGATATCCCTTGTATCCTATAGCACAGCGGGTAGGGCGTTCGCCTTACACGCGGCCAACATGGTCGACCCGAGTTCGATTCCTCCGCCCCTCTCGGAGAGCCCGGCAAGCTACCGAGAGTATTCGATATGCCAGACACAGTAACAACAAAAGTCTCCAATGGAGACGTTACTGGGCCCGCTCGAGCAAATCGACGATCAACGGGAGGGCCTTTACCTTACCTTAAAAAGTTTAAATATAGTACTTAATTCGACAACTCTATGACGTTTTATATTTTGCTAATTATTGCAAGAATTTATTGAGATGAACTGTGATGCTTTTAGAAAATAGGAATATGCCAGTGTTAATTCTCAAAGAACTCCTTCAGCCAAACCTAATCAACATTTTACCTGACCTGTAAAACTGCAACTGCATATCTCCCCTTCTCTCCATTCTCCACAAGTCTGAAGCAATGTCCCTTTAAGTTAAAAAAAAAATACATTTTCACCCCTCACTTGGAATGCTCAGTTGTTCTCAGACTTTCTAGCATATTTTACAAAGACCTGCCTACATAATCTTGTCAGTATATTCCTCTGCAGCAGAATCTCATTTCAGTCTCCTACTTCAATCCTCATCATTCACGGCTCCAACTTTGCATGTATTCTTTGGTTATTATTTAAGGGCTTCACCCCATGGTGTTAAGGGCTACCCTTACTCTCTGCTCAAGGATCGCTCCCAGTTTTGCTTTGGGGATCTATGTGTCGGAAATTGGACCTGCGTGCAAACCATGTAGTTTGATCCACTCCACCACACATGGAGCTCTGAGCACTTTCAGAAGTTATCTGACAGCCTTTTTTTTTTCCTTTTTGGGTCACACCTGGTGATGCTCAGGGGTTACTCCTGGCTTTGCACTCAGGAATCACTCCTGGCGGTGCTTGGGGGACCATATAGGATGCTGGGAATTGAACCTGGGTCGGCCACGTGCAAGGCAAACGCCCTACCCGCTGTGCTGTTGCTCCAGCCCCTCTGACAGCCTTTTGAGCCTAGTCTTTGTCCCTGCTTTTATTCTTTTATTTCCCCAAACAGTAATTTTTGCTGAGCCTTGAAATATACCATTGTTGAAAAAAAAAAGTCCTGGAGATTCTTTTCTTGATTGCCCATCTCAAGTTTATCCTTTAGGTACAACTAAGATATTACTAATTTAAAAAAGCCCTTCCTAGGTATCCCCCTATTTTTTTTATCAGTGGAACATCATGAGGTACAGTTGTAGATTTACAAATTTTTGTTCTTGGGTTTCGATTATACAATGATCAAATACCCATCCCTCCACCAGTGCCCATTTTCCACCACCATGGATCCCAGTATCCCTCCCACACCCATCCCCCCATCCCACCCTGCCTCTGTGGCAGGGCATTCCCTTTTGTTCTCTCTCTCCTTTTGAACCCCCTATTTTTATTAATGAACCTGGTTTATAATATTGTCAGTTCATAGTATTAGTAGGCTACATCGTTCCAATATCACACCTACCACCTTCCCTCCATCAATGTTCCAGGGACCCCTCCTCTTCCCTCCTCCACCTCAGGCGAACTCAGTAGACTGTCTCCAGTTGTGTTGCTTTTAGTCACTTGTCATTCCTTTACCATGTTTCTTTATATTCCACATAAAAGAAATCATTCTGTCTGAGAGACATATATCTGTATCTGTCTTCTGTCTGACTTCACCCAGCATTATACCGTCTAGTTCTATCCATGTGGTGGTAAATTGCATGCTTTCATCTTTTCCTATAGCTGAGTAGTATTCTACATGATATTCTCTATAATATTTCTTTATCCATTCATTTATTGTTAGGGACGCAGGTTGTTTCCAAATCTTGGCTATAGTGACTGTTGCTGCAATGAACATAGGGGCAAACATGAGCTCCTGTTCTTTTCAAAATATTGGGGATTTTTTGAGGGGGGCGTCTTTGAGAAGCTACTGAGAAGCAGAATTGCTCAAGTCTCAATTCTTAGTTTTACGAGAAGTGTCCGTGTTTTTTTCCAAAGAGGGTGAACCTGTCAGCATTCTCACCAACAGTGGACAAGGCTTCTTTATTTTCCTACATACACACCACCACTGATTGTTTTGCTCTTTTTCATGTGTGCCAGCCTGAGTGGTGTTTGTTGTTTCGTTTGTTTCTTAGGCAGCCCTCCGCCCCCTCTAATATATGCCTTCCTGCTGCATTCTTGTTCTCTCCAATAATCATGCTAACTACTCTGTCTTCTTATACAGATTCTGCGTTTTTCTTCTTTGATTTTGTGTGCAAAGATTCTACTCAGTAAATTAACGAGAAGATAGGAACATTACCAAATAATAGTAAACAGTATTGGATGAAATAGAGTTGTGTTGCAATCATATGGGATGGGCTGGGAGCATATTTGCAGATCAGAGAAAGGTAAAATTTCTGGTTTTAATTAGGGCCAGACTCAGGCCTTCCAAAATTAATAGAATTTGCAGAATTAGAAGGAGGAAAGACATCAGAGAGGTGAAACAATGATCTTTGGTATTGGAAACAGTGAAGAAATTGGGTTACCGTCCCCGGAATCCTGGAAAATACAGCTTTTCCAAACATAATTCACACATAATTTAGCAGCACCCCTTTGATTTGCTGTTTTTACTTGCCACCAGAGAAAAATCTTGTGTTCTTTAATTAAAAATTTAGATTCCTTCTTAGCAACTTTTTTTTTTTTTTTTGCTTTTTGAGTCACACCTGGCGATGCTCATGGGTTCTCCTGGCTCATGCACTCAGGAATTACTCAGGCTGTGCTGGGGGGAGTGGGGAGGCGACCATATGGGATGCTGGGAATCAAACCCGGGTCAGCCATGTTGGCTGTGTGCAAGGCAAACGCCCCACCCGCTGTGCTATCGCTCCAGCCCCTAGCAACTTTCTTTCTTTCTTTCTTTCTTTCTTTCTTTCTTTCTTTCTTTCTTTCTTTCTTTCTTTCTTTCTCTCTCTCTCTCCTTCCTTCCTTCCTTCCTTCCTTCCTTCCTTCCTTCCTTTGTCTTTCCTCTCTTTCTCTTTTTTTCCCTCCCTTCCTCTCTCCCTCCCTCCATTCTTTTTCTCCCTCCTTGGACTCATTTCTGCCTTTGTGCTTGCTCAGAGATAACTTCTGAAAGTGCTCAGAGCACCGTATGCGGTGGAATGGATCAAACCAGGTTGGTTGGCTGTGTGCAAGGCAGTCACCTTATCTTGTCCTATCTGTCTCTACACATAGTTTCTCTACACATAGTGTCTGGCTTTTCCCATGTAACAGATCAAGGTCACATAGATGTTCTTCTGCCTGGTGAAAGCCATTCCTGATTCAAGATCTCACCTGTAATCCATGTCCCTTTCTTATCACACTGATTCTAAAGGATTTCTTTGGAATTTCAGAAACTATTTTTAAGAAACTAAACTAGTCTAGTCTAAACTAAACTAAACTAGTCTCTAGGTTCAAATGACTTATATTCAAATGTGTATTTACACAATTTCAGGTAAACTTAGAGATGAGTTCCTTTGATTGTTCTTGCTGATTTTAACTTTCAAAATTGGTTAAAATATAAAGTTAAGTGTTTTTTAATTATGCTAACAAATTTAAAAATTTTTCATCCCAAAGAATCCGATCCAAATAAACACTCATTCTGGAAACTGATCACTTTACCCAAGGTTGCCTTCCTCGCCTTCATCATCATCTCCGTCAGCTCCTGTTTAGGCTTCCTTGACCCGACTCTGTCTCTCTTTGTTATGAAGCAGGTAAGTAGCCTGAGAACAGAAAAGCTTGGCCTTGTGGCGAGTGGGTATGATTACTTTAAGGAAAATCCTCTGAGTAACTGTGAGAAAGGAGGCAAAGGGTTATCATCTGAGGCAGTCTGTGCCTTCCCTCTCTGATATCTCAGTAATGATGGGTCTGATTCTATGTAAAAATAAAAGAAGCTTTTGAAGTGACCCAAACATTGGTCTCCTTTCCAAGACACTATGTGTCTTTTTTTTTTTCTTTCTGGGTCAGACCCAGAAGTGCTCAGGGGTTTCTCCTGGCTCTACTCAGGAATTACTCCTAGCGGTGTTCAGGGAACCGTATGGGATGCTGGGGATTGAACCTGGGTCAGCTGCGTGCAACGCCTACTCGCTTTACTATCACTCTGGCCCCAACACTACTTGTCTTATAGGTGTCACTTGGGCATCATCCATGTAGCATATCAAAGTTATCATTCCTCTGTTTTTTTAGATTTCAGTGTGATAGAATATGCAATGACTCAATTAATGTGATAGGCCTTTGTTCTCCTATATATCACCTGGTCCCCTTACTGGATCTGTTGCATGTAATAAAAATGTTTTAGGGTCTATGATCAGACTGGAATGGGAGAAAGGAATCAAGAATCTCTCCCTTTTTTTTAAAGCCTGAAAAGCAGACATTGAATTAGAAATTTTTATGCCCTAGAAACATGCTTTTAGATATTTTTGAAAAATAAGATTCATAATGTAGTATGCTCTAATAGCACATCTGATGGCTTGTTTTACTAAAGAATTAATGTGTAAATAAAGAGACATCTACTAATTTTATAGCTCAAAGTGATTTGACTAGAGGCACTAAAGTTAAAAATATAGTTGTCAGAACTGCAACTCCTTGGGTCATTAGAGATAATTGTGCATATGTGAGATACCTTAAATAATAACCTGGGGAATTTTAGCACCAGTTCCAAGGATTAGAAAGTAATAAAATATCACACTTAAGCATTGGCACCCATGACCCCACACCTATGAAAATGTTTATGTTTATGCTGTCGTTTCCATTCACATCATTAACAGCGTGAACACTTTCTCTAAAAGCTATGCTTCTTTCATTGTAAGGAAATTTATCTACGCAATGAAAGATTTTGTAACCAACTTTTGATAAACCCATGTTGCTCATGTCTTTAAACATGTATTTTCAGTGGGGCCATAGAGATAGCTCAGCAAGCCACAATACATGCTTTGCAACAGGATGCCCAAATTTCATCCCTGGCACCATATTCCTATCGCACCACCAGGAGTAATTCCCAAGAGCAGAGCAAGGAGTAGTTCCTGAGCCCCAAATGGGTGTCACTCAAAATTTTTAAAAATTAATAAAATTAAAAACCTAATAAACAAATTTGCAATGTCAAAAAATGTATTTTCCTATAATATCCTAGAAATTTTTTTGCCTTTTTTGGACTTAAATGAATCAATATTTTGCTTCCCAGTTATTAGGAATCCACAGAAATAAATCACAAAGGACGTAGTGACTTGCATATCTTGCTGCTATCCTTAAAGAAATAATTTCAGCTTGAGCTATCATTCATTTTAATTATTTGTTAAAATATATACTGACCATAAGTAAATCTCATGAGATTCATTGAAGAAAATGAGAATTTAGATGAGTCTCAAAAGCAGTGCTTAGAGCACTGTGAATAGTAATAGTATGAGTTATATGGTGACTTACTAATTTAAAATGGGTCCTGACATCTGCACTTGTTTGTTCATTGCAGCACTGTTTACAATAGCTAGAATATGGAAAAAACCTGAGTGCCCAAGAACAGATGATTGGTTAAAGAAACTTTGGTACATCCACACAATGGAGTACTATGTAGCTGTAAGAAAAAATGAAGTCATGAAATTTACATACAAGTGGTACTAGATGGAAAATATCATGCTAAGGGAAATGAGCCAGAAAGAGAAGGATAGACATAGAAATACTGCATTCATCTGGGTAATATAAAGTAACAAAATAAGAGACTAACACCCAAGAACAGCTGCGATAAATACCAGGAGGTTGACTCAATGGCTTCGAGGCCAGCTGCACACTCTAGGGGTAAAGGCAGCTCAAATGGAGAAGGGAGCACCAAATAAAGGGTGCTGGGAAGATCTGCCCAGGACGGGAGATGCATGCTGAAAGTAGATTCTAGACCAAACATGATTGCCACCCAGTGCCTCTTCTGCAAACCACAGCACCCAAAAGGAGAGAACAAAAGGGAGTGCCCTGCCACAGAGGCAGGGTGGGAAGGGGGATGGGGAGTGGGAGGGATACTGGGATTGGTGGGGTGGAGAATGGGCACTGGTGATGGGATGGGTACTCGAGCATTGTATAACTGAAACCCAAGCACAAAAACTTGTAAGTCTACAACTGTATCTCATGGTGTTTCACTAATAAAAAAAAAAAGAAAGAAAAAAAATAAAACAGAAAAAAATGGGTCATGAATCTTAATTTTTTTGTGGGTGGAGGATACTCAGGGCTTACCCCTGATTCTCAGGGATCACTCCTAGTGGGGATCAGGAACCACATAGAGTTGGCGGGATCTAACTCAAGTGGGTCATGTGCAGGGCAAACTCCCCACCTGGCACTTTTGCTCTGACCCCTCCTTCTAAATTTCAGTTACATGTTGTTTGAGCTGTAGTAGAATTAACAGTGTCATTGTGTTTTTTCACACCAGTGTTGTTCAGTTTATGGACAGTCAGCATCGTGGGGGGCAGTGTTAGAAATGCCAAATGCCTGTCCCATATCCCAGTATTTGAATCAAAACATCTCAGACTGAGGAACCAGAATCTAATTTAGGAAGTTCTCCAGTTAAGTTTTGTGTATCATAAGGTTTGCAAAAGCTGGCTCATGTGTAAAGATGTTATAATTCATAGAAGTAAAATGCTATGTTTAATGCCAAATGCTACAAAGCAAGAAATCTGTACCATCAGACCTCTCGTTTAGGTATATTTCTGATAGAGGAAAAATAATCATTTATAGATGTAAGGGCAAAATTAAGTACCCTGAGTGTTGTTGGTAGAATCATTATAAACAAGAGCTGAAGAAATAGCAGACAGAAACAAGAGATGCTTACTTAAAATGAGTTAACCATAATATCTTTAATATGAGGTTTTCTTTTACAGTTTAATTTACCAGCTGGATATGTCGGACTTGTATACTTGGGCATGGCCCTGTGTTACATGATTTCTTCACCACTACTTGGTCTACTGAGTGACAAAATGCCGGTATGTAGATTTAATTTTTCTGAGAGTTGCTTGGTTTTTTTTTAGACCTTTGATATTCTGACTATAATGCAGAATTCTGGTATCTAGACATACGTAGGTTATCCCATTATCAACCTGAGATAAAATCCACTCTAGTCTACTTAAATAGTTCTAAATCATTCCATTTGGATTACTAGTATATAGCACTAGTACTGATTCCAAATTTCTATGACTTTAACACTTATTTTAAAAACATTTTCTCTCCATTTGATTTACATACTTTTTTGCCAAAGCCTTATTAACTATGTGAAGTTTACTTAGTCAAGCTGGTGACAAAACCCAAATTGCTTTAACCAGTTTTTGGAGTATGGTTTTTTTAAAACCAGTCTTATGTAATTGAACTGATAACTGTACTTTTGTCATTTTAGCTTTCATTCAAGTATCTTATAAAGAGAATTTTATTGACCACTTTTAAAAATAATATGAATTGCTAGATATTATACCTAGGAAGTGATTTTTTTATTTTATAAATAATTTTATTGGGTACTTTTAAAAATAATATGAATTGCTAGGTATTATGCCTAGTGACTCCTGATAGGGTTTGCTTTTTCTTTTCCCTCCTTCCCTCCCTTTCTCCCTCCCCTCTCTCCCTCCCTCCCTCCTTTCTTCCTCTCTTTCTTCCTCTCTCCTTCCTTCCTTCCTTCCTTCCTTCCTTCCTTCCTTCCTTCCTTCCTTCCTTCCTTCCTTCCTTCCTTCCTTCCTTTCTTCGTGAAGTAAGGTAGATTTAATCGAAAGTTATTAGGAAGACACAAGAGAAAACAGGACTGGCTTCTCCAGAGTGCAAACAGGCAAGCAAAGAAACATTGAGGCAAGCAGCAAGAACATGGGCTTGAAGAGCAAGCCTTTATTTTAATTTTCACGTTTTGAGTATTCTGTGGGCCACTCCTGATGGTGTTTGGGGGACCATGCGGCTCAAACTGGGGTCAACCATCTGCAATGTAAGCACCTTAATCCTTCTACTATCTCTGACCCCTGATTTTTATTCAATTTTTTAGGTGTCATTTAGTTCATTATTGTTAGTTTTTATCGAATTACTGTAAGATGCAAAGTTTTTCATGATTAATTTTTAGTTGTAAGTGTTGGAGCACCTATTCCTTCACCAGTGTCCAGTTACCTCCACCAATATCCCCATTTCCTCACCCATCCTCCTAGCCTGCTGATATGCTAGACACTTTTCTTTTTGTCTTTTTTCCTTTTAGGCTTTCTGCTTTGCAATACTATTGCAGAAGGGTATCATGGATATCAATTTACCTCTTTTCAGCATCTAGTTCTTGTCCAGATTGGTTCTTCCCACTAATCATTGTCTTAGCTGTCCCTTCTCTGTCCTAATCACATCCCCCCCATTAAGGCAAGTTTCCTACTAAGGACCAGTTCTGCTAGCCTTCATGTCTTTGGGTATGTTTCTTCTACTCTGTTTCTTTATATCCCACAACCGAGTGTAATCATCTTGTCTACTGACTCCTGCTTCTTAAACTGTTACAGTTTGAATAGTTCATCATTTGCAAGATCTCTAATCATATCCTTTGCAAGGAGTCCTTGTCCTTTTCTCACTCCTTTTCTTGGAGTATATTGTCCTTGCTTTTGTGTATAGCACCTACCTATTCTCTCTTAAATGTAATGTTTTGTTTTCTTCGATGTATTTTTGGTTTCTGAATATCATAACTTATGCTCTTCTTTGTTAATATACTTTGATGATGGAGGGTCACTACCTGAAAGAGTTTCTCTGTACTCTGTTTCCCAGCATCTCCGGAAATGGTTTCTGGTCGTTGGAAGTCTCATCACTGCAGGATGCTATATGTTCTTAGGACCTGCCCCAATCCTGCCCATTAAAAGGTAATTTTTGGGGCTTTTTTCTGGTATTTTTGGCCTAATAGATTAGGAATTGCAGCACTGTAGCACTGTCCTTCCATTGTTAATCGATTTGCTCGAGCGGTCCCAGTAATGTCTTCATTGTGAGACTCATTATTGTGTTTGGCATATTGAATACGTCATGGGGAGCTTGCCAGGATTTGCCGTGCGGGCAAAATACTCTCGGTAGCTCGCCGGGCTCTCCGAGAGGGGTGGAAGAATCGAACCGGGGTCAGCCAGGTCGGCCGCATGCAAGGCAAACGCCCTACCTGCTGTGCTGTCGCTTCAGCCAATTGCTATAAAGCTGTTATAAGTTCAAAACTTAAGTGTTTTGAACTGTATTATTTAAATTTTCATTATTTAGGACTGTGATAAATTGTCAGGCAGATATTCACATGGTAACACAATGGGTTAACTAAATCTTCATCAAATGAGGAAAAGGCTTATTTATCCTATTTCAATTGCACACTTGTTTGTACCTTTTAATGGACTTAATTAATTTTTTATTTGGGGACATCATGGAAGGTGCTCTAGGGTTACTCCTGACTCTGCTCAGGAATCACCCCAGTTGGGCTCTGGGGACCGTCTGGTATGCCAGAGGTTGAACCTAGGTCAGCCACAAGTGTGCAAGGCAAACGCCCTTTCCACTATACTATATCTTCAGCACCTATACTTTATTTTAAAAATAACATTTATTACTACATTGTTTTAGTTTAGTTTACAGCCTGTAATTTTTCTTGAGATAGGAACCAAATACCATTTTGTTTCTGTGTCACCCTTGACCTGTTCATTATAGCTTCCTAATAGAAAGTGAACTGCTTAGACCTTTTCTGGTACTTGTGAGTTGAAACATGGTGTTGAAAGGGCAAAGAGGTTTCTTTTATTGCATTGTGGAGGCCACACCCAGCAGAGCTCCAGGAATGCTCCTGACTCTGTGCTCAGGAGTGAGCCCTGATGGTGAAAAGCAAAGATTCTTTTTTAATTAACCTTTATTTTTATTTATTTATTTTTTTTTCGTATAGTGTGTCAGATTTAGATTTGATGTTCTGGCTCTGTCTTTTACTCCGTATGTTATCTTGGACAATTCACTTAATTTCCAAGTTTCCTTATATACAAAAAGGAGCTTAGGGGGCAGATAGATAGTGCAGAGCGTAGGGCACAGTTTCAATCCCTGTCATCCCATATGGTCCAGGAGCCCTCCAGGAATTAATCCCTGAACACCGAGCCAGAAGTAAGCCCTGAGCACTGTGGCACAACTCCCCACACCACCGTCCCCCCAAAGGAGTTGATATTACTATCTACACGGTGGGGTTGCTGTGAGGATTAAATGGTGCTAAAGACTGTTAAATTACTGGCAGTGTGATGGCATAGAGCAAATATTCGTCGCCCATCACTTAATCAGCTGCTCCCGTCCTGTACCATCTTTCATTCAAGTACATATCAATGGCAAGTGATTGATGGAGCAACATTAGCTCATTTTTGAACAATTATGAAGGGATTTCATTTGGTGAGAAGAAAAAGGCTGACTAGGCATGTGATCTGTAGGACCTAAGAAACAGAGGAACCAGGGGCTGGGGATGTAGTGGTAAAGTGTAGGACTCGCATGTAGTATACCTTGGCATCACAAAAAGAAAAGATGAAAAAGAAAATCAAGCTATCAGGATGAAATGATGCCCACATTCCCCCAAAGTAAGAGGCTGAAGGGCTAGTACTGAAATATGATCAGACAAGAAGAGAATCGTCTGATTCTCTTTAATTCTCATATTTTCACAATTATGGAATATGTGAAATAAACTTGTCTGGGATCCTGGGAACCCTCCTTTCTAACAGAGCTTTGTCTCTCTTCAAAACCTTGTTTTCCTTTCAAATTCTTTTGCAGTCAGCTCTGGTTGTTGGTGTTGATGTTAGTCATCAGTGGCATCTCAACTGCAATGAGCCTGATTCCAGTTTTCCCGGAAATCCTTAGTTATGCACAGTAAGTTACTTGCATTGCGTGAAGGGCTGTATTGTGACTAGCTGTGATCCATAATCACAGGCTTCCTTTTGTTTCTTAATCTGTGTAGGATGTTAGATATTTCTTCTCCAATTCCAAACCTTTGTGATTTCATGACAATTTTGCACTATAATAAGGCATGCAATAATATAATAAGTGACATTATTTGTAATTTGTAGAAGTATTAACATAGTAACCAGTAAAATGGTTTGTAGATGGAAGTTTGGCATAGTTTTTATGCCTTGGTGCAGTTTTATATATATATAATATATATGCGTTTCATATAATATGTATATGCATTTCATGCAAATGCATCATGATTCTCAGTCGCGTGTCCTTTAAATATTCTATATATGTGTATAAATACATATGTATATTATTTATATACATACACACACACACACACATTTGGTTTTTGGGTCACATCCGGCAATGCACAGGGGTTGCTCCTGGCTCTACATTCAGGAATTACTCTTGGTGGTGTTTGGGGGACCATATGGGATGCTGGGAATCAAACCCGGGTCGAAAAACGCCCTACCCGCTGTGCTATCTCGTTAACCCCCGGTGTAGTTATATTTTTAACTTGTTGAACACAGGAATGTCCTTATGACGTAACTTAAGCAGGAAGAGTATTGATGAGTCTCTAATATCACTTTAAACAGTTCTCACATGAATAAGGATTTGGCTGTGTATTTTCAAGACATTACCTACTGTCCTTGCTTATCTCCTTCTAAAATTTTTTAAATTTATATATTCTATGAGTATTTCATGCAAATGCATCATGATTCCCAGTTGCATGTCCTCTAAATATAATAAAATTATTTTTTAGAAGACAACATCATGTGAACATAACTATAATCATTTCTCTAAAAAAGATTAGCTTTTATCTTAGACATAAGTGTTTTATGAGCTAAAATAATATAGCAGGTAGATCTCTTGCCTTGCATATAACCAACCTGGGTTTGATTTTCTAACCCCGTATGGTCCTTGGAACACCATGAGTGATTCCTGATTGCAGAGCTAGGAGTATACTCTGAGAACCTCAGAGTGTGGTCCAATAAAATAAAATTTTTAAAAAGAAATGAGTGTTTTACTATTATTTTTATCTGGATTGCACCTGCTTTATTTGATGTTGTGCACTTTTTTATTTCACACAAGTTTTCCGTGTGTGTGTGTGTGTGTGTGTGTGTGTGTGTGTGTGTGTGTGTAGGCTATGCTTGGTGGTGCTCAAGATTTCCTCCTGGCTCTGTGTTCAGGGATCACACTTGACAGGGCCCAGGGAACCATGTGAGGTCTGGGGATTTAACCTCAGGTCAGCCATATGCAAGGCAAGCTCCTGCCCTCAGTACTATCTTTCCGGCTCCACTGGTTTCCCTTTTAATAACAACTGTATTTTTGTCTTTGCAGCGAAAATGGCTTTGAAGAAGGCTTGAGTACATTGGGACTTGTGTCAGGTCTCTTAGGTGCAATGTGGTCAGTTGGGTGAGTAACGATTGAATTTCATTCACATCTGAATGGTGATTCCCATTTTACAGAAAAAGAAATTGAGGCACTGAAAGGTCAGATGAGTTGAACCAAGACATATACTTTTGGGCAGTGTTGGAGTTCTGACTCCATGATTAGAGGTTCTACTTAATCAGAGTGTTCTGATATAACCGAGTACAGCATATAGGGTGTTTGCCTTGTGTATGCTTTGATCCCTGGCACCGCATATGGTCCTCCAGTGATTCCTGAGTGCAGGGCCAAAAGTAAGTTCAGAGCAACGCTAGGTATGGCTCAAAAATAAAAATTAATGAAATATTTAAAGAAAATTCTGAGTGGGGCCGGAGCAATAGCACAGTGGTCAGGGCACTTGCCTTACATGAGGACAAACATGGCTTGATCCCTTGGTACCCCTTATGGTTCCAGGAGCACTGTTAGGTGAGCCTCACCCCCACCCCCCAAAAAAAATCCTGATATATTTTTGTTTTACTCAGGTGATTGGTATAAGTTACTTTATAGTAACTAAAGCAATTAAAATTTTTAAAATGTTTCTTTTGTGGGGGCCTCTCAAGTGGTGCTCAGGAGGCCTGGGGGTCCTATCATAAGTTTTTGGCCAGCTGTACCCTGAGGTTCCATCCAGGGAATGAAGGACGCCATGCTGCAGGGATACCCAAGACACCTGCCGTCCTGTGGTCTCCAGGGTTGTCCGTGGAGATTCTGGGGAGATAGTGTGGAGTCAGGAATTGACCCTGGGTCAGGCAACCTCTCTATTATCTCCCAGCTCCTTTAAGTAATTTGTTTTGGTACTTGTGGTGGCGGAGTGGGAGGGGCATACCCTGTGCAGCTTAGGCTTGTTACTGGGCCTACTCCCAGGCCCCCCTGGGGTGGGGGTAAGGGGAACCCCAGGAAATCCTGGATTCAGCCATCTATTGCTCTGGTCCCTAGTCTTTTTTTTTTTTTTTTTGCTTTTTGGAGTCATACCCAGTGATGCACAGGGGTTACTCCTGGCTCATACACTCAGGAATTACTCTTGGCGATGCTCAGGGGACTATATGGGATGCTGGGAATTGAACCTGGGCTGGCTGCGTGCAAGGCGAACACCCTACCCAATGTGCTATTGCTCGAGCCCCCCTCCCCAGTCATTTTTTTAAAAAGAGTTTTATTAACAAGAGTGTGTTTCGGTTGTAAAAATGTATTTACTGATTAATTTATTTAATTTTACTCCCTGCTGCCCAAGAGGGTGACATAAATGCTGATAGTGTAGATATTATAAATCTACCAAGAGATTTTAAGCACAAATAATGAGAAAAGTGAGAATAATACAAAGATTCTTTTCAGTCTTATTTCATCTTTCTAATCTTATACAAGGCATCAACTTTTCAAAAGAAGTTATGATTGTAGAAGTGTTTAAAATATTAAACATCGTTATTATCAGAAAAAAAATTTTATACCCAAATACTTTGTACAGGATTTTTACTTTACTATGCATACTTCTGACTTCATGAAGACCTGTGTTGTGCAATCACTCACTCTTTAATAAGTACCATTTATTTATTTATTTGCTTTTTGGGTCACACCCAGACATGCACAGGGGTTACTCCTAGCTCTGTATTCAGGAATTACTCCTGGCAGTGCTCAGGGGACCATATGGGATGCTGGGAATTGAACCTGGGTCGACCGTGTGCAAGGCAAATGCCTACTCGCTGTGCTATTGCTCCAGCCCCATAAGTACCCTTTCTTTAAAAAAAAAAAAATCAGTATTTAATACTCTTCTTTTTATTGTTAGTGCTTTTATAGGACCTGTGCTGGGTGGATTTCTATATGAAAAAATTGGTTTTGAATGGGCAGCTGCTATACAAGGTCTATGTTCTCTGGCAAGTGTGAGTAATCAGTCTTTATTTTCCCTTTCCCTACATCTGTGGAGAAAGATGACTTGGAGAATTGACATTAACAGGTACTTTTAATTATGTTAAAGGGATCATCAATGGCCTTGTATTATCTGTTGGAGAACTCAAGGAAAAAAAGGTATGATCAGTTCTTTTTTTTAATTAACTTTTTAAATTTTACTTTCATAAAGTTGTTTACAATAATTGATGTATGATCAGCTCTTGACCTTTTTATCACTCCTTTAAAAATTGGTCTATGAACATAAAGTAACAAAATAGGAGACTAACACTCAAGAATGGCCGAGATTAGTACCAGCAATTTTACTCCATGGCTTGGAAGCCAACCACACATGCTAGGGGAAAAGGGAGCTCAGATAGAGAAGGGAACACCAAATAAAGGTGTTGGGAGGATCCTCCCAGGATGGGAGAAGCATGCTGAAAGTAGACTATAGACCAAACATTATTGTCACCCAGTGCCTCTTTTGCAAACCACAACACCCAATAAGAGAGAACAAAAGGGAATGCCCTGCTACAGAGGCAGGGTGGGATGGGAGGTTGGGGGGTGGGAGGGATACTGGGATCCGTGGTGGTGGGAAATGGGCACTGGTTGAGGGATGGGCATTTGATCATTGTATAATTGAAACCCAAGCACAAAAATTTGTAAGTCTACAACTGTACCTCATATGTCTCACTAATAAAAAAAATAAATTAAAAAAATGAAAAAAAATTGGTCTATGAAAGTAGGAAAGAAATTTTAATTTATTCCCTTTCTTCCAGTTAGAGGTTTCTGGACACTATGCCTCATCATTTGTTTAAGATAGTTGGATAGAAATGTAGGCACCGAGGGTGTTTTTTTCAGTTGGAGTGTGGTGGTGGGCCATACCAAGTTGGGTTCCGGAACTGCTCTCAGCTCTGTGCTTGAGAGTGGAGTCCTGTAGTGCTCAGGGGTTCACCGCCATGGTACCTGGGAATCAATCCAGGGTCAGTAGCATGTAAAGCAAGTGGCTTAACCCTCATCCTTTACAATTCCTGGTTATGGAGAGTTTTTTGTTTGTTTGTTGGGGGAAAAGGGCACACTCAGTAGTGCTCAGGGCTTGCTCCTGGCTCTGTACTCGGGAATCATTCCTGGTGGTGCTCAGGACTCCATATGTGGTTCCTGGAACCAAGCTTGGGTCAGCTGCATGCAAGCATATTACCCACTATATTTGCTCTCTGCCCCGTTGAGTTATTTGTAGATAAGAGATACTGAGGTTCTCATCTTTCTCTCACTTAGATCCAAATTTCAAGATATTCCCAGCACAGAGGAGGACCGAATTACTCTTTTGTCTGATGAAAGATAGCCCTGAGAATCCTGGATTGTTACCGGGTAGAAAACAGACGCTTTGAATGTCAAAGTTGGAAGAGTTGCTTAATTGCACACATGGAATTCGCAGATCCTACACCAGCGTTCTGGAAATGTTATCATATTTGGATGCTCCTGTTTTGTACTTAGTTGGCTGATATGTTGCTCGTTGATCCAGTCATCTTTGAATCTTTAAATGTGAAAAGAACAGCCAAATGTTAACAAAAGGACTTTTTCTTGTTTGGGGGCCACAGCCGGTAATACTCAGAGGTAACTGTTGTCTCTGCACTCTGGAAGTAGTTCTGGCAGTGCTTGGTGAACCATTTGGGATACAGGGGATCAAACTCCAGTTGGTAACATGTAAGGCCAACACCCTACTCACTGTACTCTCTCTGGTCCCTGAAAGTTTGTAAAGTAACTAAACTTGGACTTGTTATTAAAGCCTCCTTTTCCCTCTTTTTACTTTTTATTCCAACTGCACTGATTCTGAATGTAATTTTTTATTAACAGGAAAAGAAAGACATGATTGAGATGCGTAAAATATATTAAGGTGTCTCAAAACATGCAACTACTTGGAAATTTGTTTTTATTTTTTTTTATTTTTAATTTTATTTATTTATTTATTTATTGAATCACTGTGGGAAAGGTTACAAAGCTTTCAGGTTTAGGTCTCAGTCATGCAAATATCAAACACATTTCCCTTTACCAATACTTATTTTTTACCATGAAGAACCCCAATAAAACCTCACCCGCCACCCCTCCCAGTCCCTGTTAGGCAGATGGATTCTAGTTAACACTCTATCTGCTTTGATTAGATTCATTGTTTCAATAAAAAATTCACCACTATTATTTAGAGTTTACCCCCCCCCCCCCAAATCAGACATGCTGAAAAAGCATTGTGAAGTGATTTGCTTTCTACAGCTGGGTTCAAGAATTAAATGTTGGTTTTGGATTTCTGCTATTTTACTTATTGACCCTGGAAGTATTTCTACTGAAAGTCAGATAGTTAAGAAATTGGTTTCTGTGCTCTGGAGTCGTGGCCGTGCTGGAGAGCTGCTCGTGGGGGGCAACTGGTGGCCTCGGTAGGATGTGAAGGGTGTACCGAAACGCCCCCCTTCCCATGAGGTTTTAGTCACCCCCACACCCCCGGCTCATACCTGCTGTCCACAAGGCTCCCATGTGGCCGCCATCTTTCTTTCCAGAGGGAGGAGAGCGGAAGGGAGCAACACCCTTTCCCCTCCGGGCAGACATGATGGCCTGGATTAATGCATAGTCCTTTCACTTTTCTGCTCCAAGCAGCTGGGTTCTGCATTAAGTCCTTGTGCTTCTGGGGCTGTGGCTGTGCTGGAGAGCCGCTCACGGGGGGCAACTGGTGACCTCGGTAGGGTGTGAAGGACGGACCGGAACGCTCCCCTTCCCATGAGGTTTTAGTCGCCCCCACACCCCCGGTTCATACCTGCTGTCCACAAGGCACCCATGTGGCTGCCATCTTTCTTTCCAGAGGGAGGAGGGCGGAAGGGAGCAACACCCTTTCCCCTCCGGGCAGATATGATGGCCTGGATTAACGCATAGTCCTTTCACTTTTCTGCTCCAAGCTGCTGGGTTCTGCATTAAGTCCTTGTGCTTCTGGGGCTGTGGCCATGCTGGAGAGCCGCTCGTGGGGGCAACTGGTGACCTCGGTAGGGCGTGAAGGACGGACTGGAACGCCCCCCTTCCCATGAGGTTTTAGTCACCCCCACACCCCCGGCTCATACCTGCTGTCCACAAGGCTCCCATGCGGCCGCCATTTTTCTTTCTAGAGAAGAGAGGGCGAATGGGGCAACACCCTTTCCCCTCCGGGCAGACATGATGGCCTGGATTAACGCATAGTCCTTTCACTTTTCTGCTCCAAGCTGCTAGTTTCTGCATTAAGTCCTTGTGTTTCTGGGGCTGTGGCCATGCTCCAAACTTAACTCTGATTTTCAGGGAGAAACGTTGGGTGGTTTACTTCCCATTGATCACTTTGTATATAGAGAGATGTCGCGTGGCCGCGTAAGCCGCCACGTGGTTTTGAGGAAAAGTCCTAGTTCCCGCATACTCGAGCTGTGCTTGTAGAGGCTTCTGGTCACCGGGGTTCCATCTGGGGGAGGCGGGATGCGGTACCTACCCCATCTGGGACTTCCCGATGATCTCGGCTCTTTTTGGAACCTGTTTTTCTTTTTTTCCTCCGGGAGCTGTGGATCCCGCCCTCTATGTGGCCCTTCTCTTCGGCTGTATGCTGTAAAGATGGCGCTTAGGGCGGGCTGTGGGCGTGACTCCCGGAATCAGAGGTTACCTGGGAGCTGTAGTCCCGGCAGATTTGAGGAAAAGTCCTAGTTCCCGCATACTCGAGCTGTGCTTGTAGAGGCTTCTGGTCACCGGGGTTCCATCTGGGGGAGGCGGGATGCGGTACCTACCCCATCTGGAACTTCCTAATTTTCTTGGCTCTTTTTGGAACCTGTTTTTTTTTTTCCTCCGGGAGCTGTGGATCCCGCCCTCCATGTGGCCCTTCTCTTCGACTGTATCGGAAATTTGTTTTTAAAAGGTACCTCTGTGTTTCATGAGTTCTTTTCTTAATTCTTATTCAAAAGACAGTATTCCTGCTGACCACGCAAAAAGTCTGCATCATTGATTATCAGCTTTTATAAAAACTTTGAAAAATACAGGAATGACATTAGAATTTATATCTATAGGGTGATATCACAGTAGGTAGGGTGCTTGTCTTGCATGCAACTAACCAGGCTTGATCCCTAGTACTTCATATGGTCTCCGAGCCCACCCAGAGTGACGGGAATGCAGGGCAGAAGTAAGCCCCAAGCACTGCGGGTGTGACCCCAAAACAACCAAATCAGAAGAGACTTCCATCTTTGAATTATTATGTGGATTATTACAATGCTTGATCCAACACTATTAATTTTGCTTATGCTACTATTTTTCTTTAAACATAACACTAATAGGTATATCCCATCCTTAGAACAAGTGAGTTCACAGAAACTGTTCTGTTTTTATTTTTTTTAATGTAAGAATACTGTATTTATTCAGCCACTGATTAGCTGATTGAATTGGTCATGAACTCCACCTTTTTTAAATTTTTTATAATTTTATTTATTGAATCACCATGAGAGCAGTTACAAAGCTTTTGGGTTTAAGTCTCGGTCAAACAATGAAACACCCATACCTTCACCAGTGCCCATTCTCTACCACCACAAACCCCAGTATACTCCCATCCCACACCCTCCCCCTACCTGTGGGGCAGATGATTTCCACATTACTCAGCCTCTACTTTGATTACGTTCAATATTTTGACACCAGACCCACCATTATTATTTGGGATTTTACCCCAACACTCAGATCTGCTGAAAAGGCAACAGTAGACAAGTTGTTTTCTATTGCTGGTTATGAATAACATATGATGTCGCGTGGCTGCAGTAGTGGCTGCGTGATTTTGAAATTCTGAAATTTTAACAAATCTGGAGGGATTTCTGCCCAAATCTGCTGGGTTCTGAGATTTATTCCTGAGTCTCTTGGATCATGACTGTTAAGCAGCTTGATCAGGAGCCAGAAAGGTGGTTAGTGGGCGGCGACTTGGAGTCTTGTTGATTAGGGGAGGAAAGGGCCGCATCCACCCCATCCTGTGAGGCCCCGTGTGTCTCATCACTGTGGGCCCAAACCTGACTGTGCAGTGGCCTCTGGAGGATGGCAGCCGCTGGGCCAAGGCACCAGGCCAAGGGCACAAAACTTATTCCCACCTGGGGTGGTCCAGCGCCTGTAACCTACTGTAGGGACTGGATGCATTTCTGCCAAAAGCCGTTGGGTTTTGAGATTTGTTTCTGAATCTCTGGTATCATGGCTGTTAAGCAGTTTGATCAGGAACCAGAGAGGCCATGCCTCCAGTTATACAGCTGAGCCGGAGGTGGTTTGTGGTTGTGTCTCCCACATACCTAACTTTTGGCCATTTACTTTCTTGGTAAACTTTGCCCCAAGTTTTTGGGGTCTGGCCAAAGGCACAGCAGCAAATTTGGGGTATCTGGAAGTCTGAAGGCGCCATCAGGCTGCTGATGCACTCGGCTCACAGCTAGAGATTGACCTGCTGGTGGCACTATACCTCTGTGAGACTGTTCTCTTTTAAGGAAGGGATGGTCTGATTTCATATACATTTTATGCTCTTGTGCTGAGTGAGGAAATCTCAACTGTGCAATTCTTACACCTCCTGATCCATTTTTATGGTGTGGAACTACACTCACCTTTTGGAAAAAAGAATAAAAATGCTTTGAAAAAATCTATGTATTTTTTCCTTTTTGGGTAACACCCAATGATGCATGGGGGTTACTCCTGGCTTTGCACTCAAAAATTACTCCTGGCGGTACTCAGGGGACCATATTGGATGTTGGGAATCGAACCCAGGTCGGCCGCGTGCAAGAGCCGGCTGTACTATCGCTCTAGTCCTAATATATATATATATATATACATTTAAAAATTTTTTTTATATTTTGTTTTACTGGGGATCACACCCAGCAATGCACAAAGGTTACTCCAGTTTTTGCATTCAGGAATTACTCCAAGCGGTTCTTGGGAGACCATATGCAATGCTGGGAATCGAACCTGGTCGGCCGTGGGCAAGGCAAACGCCCTATCAGCTGTACTATCCCCCCAGAAAAATCTATACAATTTTTAACATAAAAGATTTCTCTGAACTGTGCAGGGTGCTATAAAAATTCTATAATCAAGATCAAGACAATCCTGCTTTTTCAGACCATGCTGTTCATTGGAATGAGCAGGATATAAGTAAATGCCAGAAACTCTAGTTATCTTACAGACCGCGATGAGGAAGAAAGCCTGTTGCTATACTATACTGATTGGTTGGGACCAACTGGGTAAGGCTCCTGAATTTAAATAAGCACTTTCCATAGAAGCAGGTATGGGCTTTGTTTTTGAAGTGATTTTTGGAGCAGTCTTAGCAATAGCACAGTGGATAGGGTGTTTGCCTTGCATGTGGCCGACCCGGGATTGATTCCTCCATCCCTCTCGGAGAGCCTGGAAAGCTACCGAGAGTATCCTGCCCACATGGCAGAGCCTGGCAAACTTCCTGTGGCGTATTCTATATGCCAAAAACAGTAACAAGTCTCACAATGGAAACGTTACTGGTGCCTGCTCAAGCAAATCGATGAACAACGGGTGGACAGTGTTACAGTGCTATGTATCTAGCAGTGCTGGGGCAAGGCTGCTCCCTGTAACCCTGGAGAATGAACAAAGGGACAGGGGACAAACCCAGGGGCCTTTGCTCTAACACTTGGCCACTCTCAGATCCACTACTTTTTGGCATGGGGGTGGCTCATTCCCCAGCCCCACCCTTCGGCCCCTGACCCTGTTACTCAGGGGACTATATTGAGCCTTCTGCAGGCAAAATATTCACTACCTACGCATTTGAGCTGTCTCTCTGGCCACTTCCCTAAGAGTGGAAATGTTTTAATGAAGATG